TACATATGCGCATATACATATGTACACACGTGCATATGTACATACATATATTTAATAGCGTAGACAAGCAGAAGTTTCATTTAAATGATATCCGCTTGATCAAATGGTTTTTTTCAGTAAAATATACTAGTTTAGAAACAGACCTGGCACGACTTACTCAGCTGTTCATTGAAGGGAATTGTCGTGCCTTACTTCCAGGAAAGGACGGGTTCTTTGAGCAGTTTCTTCCAGGTAGGCGGCACGTTTAGCCGCATTTCCGGATGGAAATGCCGAATTCCTCAGCAAAGACCACTATCGTGTGGAGCTACTTAACCACATTGATGCATCAATGATTGGGTGATATTGGGACTATAATTACGCAAATTTCCATAGTCGTCAATACATTCGTCTAGAAAAGGATTTGATGTGGAACTTTACAAAAAGACGACCATCAACAAACCAGCCGGTAAGATTTGCTTGATAGTTTGACCTTTATTTTGATCATAGTCACTTTAGAGCTTTCGAAATTTTTGATTTTTTCATTTTACTTCTCACAATCAAAGGTTTGGTTGTAATTGCGAAGTATAAAGCTTGTTTTGGCATTTGAGCATATTTATGCATCAGAAGCACACGAACGAGTAGAGGAGATTGTGAAGCACACACAAAAATAGGAAAAATGCTAAAATGTTTCCCAAACAGCGGAAAAAGACCAATTTATTTAACGGAAATTACATTTTTAGTACTTTCAGTGTTCCTGAAAGGGACGCGGGCGAGTGTGCAAAGACGCAATGAAAGATTGAATTTGTGAAAACTTTGAAAGTGCATTTTTGTACTTGAAATACATTCATCTATTGAACACAAATATATGTGCAATATATACGGGATCCTATGCAAGAATGATATGCAGAAAACACTTATGGCTGTGGTGAGAAAATTTTATAGCATCTAGAAGAATTCTTATTTAGAGCTCATGGACGATTATTAGGAAAAAATTTCTTAGTGATTAATTATCGATGCAAGAAGATTTTTTGCAGACTTTTTGCGACTGATCGATAGCTAGGTAAAGCCTAAAACGTACAAAGCAAGCCCTTCCAAAAATTTTCATTTCATTAATTGCAACAAACCGCGCGACCAACTAATCTCGGCCGCAGCAATGGACACTGGTAAACAAACAAGTTGGAAATTATTATGAACACTTTTCTACGTGAAAGATACACCTCACAACATCTCTATACCTTAGGCAATTAATATGACTGATTAGAAGAACTTCAGATCAAAAACCTTCGCGCATCAAAATTAACTACCGGAAAAAAACTACGTTCTTAGAGAGCCGTTTTACTGTTGATTTGTTAGATATTATGAGTATGGTGCTTATTAGACCTATGTGGGATCACTTCCTCTCATCATTTCTAAGTTAGAAAACTGATATCCAAACCTGTCTGTAAACAGGCCACCCTGTAATATAATTGGAATTTTTCATTCAGAATGAGTGAGGCTCAAACAAATGTGAAATAATGCAAAACACAAAAAAAACGTTTTTCCCATAAAGAGAAAAAACTCGTTCTCCGAACATTCTTGCTAAGATGCTGCTGCTTCGACTGAGCGAAATCTCTTCGGTTCGCTTATCGAAACACGATTCTCGACAAAGTAGAAAATCACTTGAAGGCTCAAAAATTGGAAGAATAGAATGAAAAATGCACCACCACGCATGCATTGTAAACAATACAGTCTTACAATAAATGTCAACTTCGATTCAAGCAACAAAGCGAACTACTGCTTTTACCTAGACACGAGTTGAGTCATGTTAGAACTGTTACCATCTAGGCAACAGAGATCTTAGACGCCATAATAGCTCTTCTAAAACAGGTCAACGCCGTTTAGATGAGGCCAATGACCTTAGTTTACATAATGACGGTCAAGGCACCTTAATGCGATCTCCAATATGTCTTGTATGGCCGACCAGACCCATTGGTGCCATTAAATGGACATAATGGATTTTTACAGTACCTCGTATCAAAACGGCCGCTTTCTACTCTTTAAAATTTACACAAAAACCTCATTGAGGCAAAATGTGGGAAATAGTGTTGGAAGAGTACTTTTTACCAACGTGAAATCTCTGCAGACACTGTGTGAACAACACTTGACTCACTTCTGTGAATTACTGTACTATCAACAGCCTCTCTGAGCTACTTGTACGAACAAAAACTGTCCTATAAGCGAACGAGGCAAACACCAAGATCTAAGCACACAATGAGGAAAAGCGATAGATATCTAATGAGGAAATGGGAAGACGAACAAGAGTCCACAAAAAAGTGGGAATTAATATAATGCAAAATAATAAAAATTGATGGCTTATATAAGTTTTGATACACTCTAGCGTTATACCACTTTCACAGGCGGACCTTTATTTCCATATTTTTCCGCCAAGAACGGGTTATGGAGGATGTCCCATGTTGGGTTGTGTCAACATTTGGACTTAGAACAATAAGGACATTTAAAGCATTCGTTATTGGGCGACCAAAACACTCATAAATACACGAGGTAAACAGCAACAACAACAACACAACGGGTTTTTACGACGTTCAACGGATGGCTGGATGGACGTTGACAGGAGTTTGCTGCATTCCCTCCCAAGCAACACTCTCGGCCGCAAATCGATACTCCGGGACGATCTGCATCTATCCATTCGCTTACTCGAGAGAATTCTCACCTCGAAACCATGTGAATTTCGATGTCCTAGTAAAGTAATAGTAGCCAGTATGGTGGTATGATATTCTGGCGATAAGCTCGTATCCATTACGAATACTGAACATCTTCGTTGAAAGAGCACACGTGCCCTTATTCCTCAGTAAAACTCTGCTGGCCTGCCTTGTTGCCTTAGTGAGGATCGATCTTCACCCTTACATTCAAAAAAACATTCATTGATGTTCTACCAGTCAGTTTAAATTTTACACCAACAACATCTGTTCCACGTAGTCCTCGATCTCAACAAAAAGGGTGAGTGTCGGCCGCTTATCGCTTCGAAGAAGAATTTTCAATTTCACGAAAGTCAATAAAGTGTGCAATTATTTTCTAAACGATGCCTCCTATGTAGAAACCACGCTTTGTCGTCCTTGACAACCGAAGCTCTCAAAACAGAGAATAACAACGAGGACTAATTAATTCGATGTTTTTCTGATTGTGCACACGAAATCGTTACTCTACTATTCATAATGAAAAATAATCTAAATAGTATTTAATTAGTATAGCAACACTAATCCCATTGCGTCCTTACGAAAAAACAACGAGTTATTCATCGATGCCGAGATTAATGGAAAATCTCTCGGGCATAGTAAAGAGACATTTATTTGCTCACACAATAATGCCACCTTTGTCCAACGAGGTCAGTAGGACACTTTCATTCAAGAACCTATCTGGAAGGAATTCTATGACAGCCATAGCAAACGTAAAAAGGATCAAAGCTTAGCTTAAATTTGAAAGTTCCATTAGCTAGCGATTGTCAATGATATCGATTTACGAGTAATTTTACAATTACAATCTTGTTCTAACAGCAATGCACCGACTCACATGAGAGCGCTATTCCAACAATTCGCGAGAATGGACCATTTGAGTGCCATGTATATCGCTCTGTATATCCGATAAACATGAATAGCAAAGAGAATAGCGAAGTGGTTGGTGGTGCAGCCGATCAGAATGTTAGGTGGATTTCAAGCCTTTCTCCCGACGCAACTTGTAATCCACCTGGAAATGAATGCTTAGATCCGACTTTAGAATTTCAAGGAAAATCGATTTATCCAGCATACTACGACAATTATGAAGAAGATGAAATTTCAACCATTCATCAAAACAAAATACGAGGTATTCGAACGATTTGAAACGATTAAGCGAGGAAAAGAATCGAAAGCGAAAAGCGCAGTGATTCATACAATAGATGTGATGACAGGTCATTTAAATGTAAAGCAAAAAATAATCGTAAAGTAGGAGTTTTAGTTACAGAAGGACTTTTTACATCTATAAACGACATCTGAATTGAAAATGAAAATACAAGGAGGAGCAGAGGAATTCGAAAAATCTCATCTATTTATTCAGAAGCACTAATAGTCTCTTTCCAGTTGCAGAAATTATAACCATCACTGCTTTGGCAACTCAAGAAATCCTAGTTCTCTCACGCACATGAAGATTTATGTAAAGCAATGTGCATTACCACTAAATGATATTCTCAGCGTTATTAATGTTAAGGCATCGCACAATTTGGCAGTTCACTTATCCTTAATACAGTTCGAATCCCATCAGCGTAGTTGTTTTCCTATCAAAAATCATTCGAGGTGTTCATCTGAATCAGCTGACTGCCGCGTAGGAATACAGATAAAGAGGGAACATTGTGTACCTCGCACCAACAGCGACCATCAACTGGTAGGTTACTCACCCATTCACTCAACGGGTTTTGTCAACTCGTGACACTACCATTATATCGTGATGTCATGTGTGGGAACACGCATATTAATCTATGGTACCCTAACATATGATTCCCAAGCCTCGACCTCTCTACTTTCAAAAAAAGCGTGATAGAGGACCACGTCGTCTGCGACGCCTGAGACAGAATTTCTTATCTAACCGCTTCTAAAGGTGGAATGATGTCATAAATATACCCATTGATGTAGAGTGATGTGCAAAACTTTTGCATCAAACGAGACTCGAGCCCACATTTCACACTAACCGGTTGCACGTGGCTTGACCCGTTGCACTATCGAAGCCTGTTTTTACACCACTTTTTCTACGCTACAACGCATCATCTGTCATCAACCAACTGTCAACGATAGGGCACGGGTAGTCGCTATCGATATTGAACCCAGTCACGTTGACAGGGTGAGATAAAAAGAAATTCTGTTTGATCATCTAATACGCGATAGCTGTCAACGTGACTAGGTTCAATAATGATAGCGACTATCCGTGCCATAACGTTGCGGTTGGTTGCTGACAGATAGATGCGTTGTAGCGTAGAAAGAGTGATGTCAAAACAGGTGTCGGTAGTGTAACAGTTGGAGCACGCTTCCCCGGATAGGGTGAAATGTGGGTTCGAGTCCCACCTAACGCAAAAGTTTTGCACATCACTCTACATCAATGTGAGGCCTCAGTTTCTCATTATACTCAATCAATCATTACGATAAAAAAAAATACTGCGTAATCTAGCGTAGAAACCGATGATTGAAAAAAAAATACTTGCCCCTTCCCGACTATTGCAAGCATTTATAACGTCATTTTAGAGCGACCAATGACCAATACCACCAATACATCGATATCATTAACTACATATTGTTTGTAGAAGCTGATTTGCGAGTACAGAGATATCATGTTACAAATGGACTTGCCATCATGAATAGGTGGCATTCTCACGTAAATGGATCGACATAATGCTTTCGTATCTCTCACATAATTGCGTAGTGTTGTTTCACGGATGACATGGAAACCTCACATACGAAATGAATTTCCCATAAACATAGGGAAGGTGCGTCGCAGAAAATGTGAAGAGAGAGTGAAGAAGTTTGGAAGTCATCGTTGTCAGAATAAGTGTACAGATTATTTGAGCTACAATAGTAATTTGAGCGAAAGTATTGCTAAAACCAACAGTACTGCCAACCTTACCTGGATTAACCACAGAACGATAAAATTTAAGCTTTAGTGAATAATTTCCACAACCGATTATCTACTAGCCTCAGCATAGATAGAACCAAAATGTTTTTTATTGTGCAAACAAAAATTCGTTTATGACGTTTTCCTGCTAGAAATACGAGATAGTTGACCGAGTAGATTGCGAGTCAATATGACCTATCCAGACTCTAGAGAGGGCGACATTGCCAAAGTGCCAGCCATTAGCTTATACTGAGTAGTACCTAATAACTCTATCGCTTTTGCTCATCAAGAAAAACACTGAGCCACTGTTTAGCAGATTGCCCGTAGATTGGAAAATCTGATAATATGATAAAGTACAAAGCTCTTGGGGTTGATCAATCCCTGAAGGATGAGCCATTCATTCGTCAAATTTTTAACTTCGTTTGAGGTGATTTGAGGTGCATATCTGGCCTTTACAATGACTCGTGGTGGCCTATAGCTGTATCGAATCAGTGCTGTTTACCCTCCCAAAGAAGCCTGAGACCAATCTGGTATCAATTTACCGACCCCGAACGGATGGATGGCTTGGTAAGCAATGAGCGCGAGGTCGAATCTCGATCATGTGTACGACGCAGAGCACCTTTAACCACTGCACCATATGCGCTGGATGATTTGACATGATATAGTACTACAAACTGAAATGAATAACTCTCCGATTACGGAGAGCACAGACTGTGCCAGTGATAGCCTCACAGCGATGTCGGAGAGTTTATCCATAGTGAACTGCGATGTAAAACAAAGTGTATTTTGCCCAAAGAGTGATGGCACAGTAACGCAGTAACGGCCTCGGTGGTGCAGTGATAGCATGCGTCCCTCATCGGTGAAATGCACGTCCGACTCACGCCTGAGCCCTATGTTTTGCATATCACTCAGCATCCTTCAGTATATCACTCGGGATATAGGACGAGTTTACGTCTACTTTTACCCGCAAGGCTAACAGAGTACGATAATTCCACGACTTTCCATGGACGCTATCTGCATCAGTAACAAACCTTTCTCTGGTCCACATTGAATGACATCCCGAGATCTCTAAGAGAAAACACGGTGCTCAGCAATTGAGCAATCTCAGTACCTGTACATCGGTTGTTCATGTCTACGAGCTGTGCAGTGAGCGAGATGATCAAACTATGAATTGGGACGGAATCACTAGCTGCAGAGCAAAACATCACGTTGGTGACACGTAAATGAAGTATTCTTGCCCTATCTCGAAAGGGTCAAAACTCTCCCCTTCACGCTATCTTTAGAGCTGTCACCAGTCACTGAAATTTGTCTCTGCGTGAGATCAACAGGACGAAGACTACACTGTGCCTCAATGAGTAGAACTCTATTCTCCCCACAGATGAGGCTCAACAGCGTAACCGTCTATTCAACTCCACAATTCTTCCTGCCTTAACCCATTCAGAACCATAATTGAAATCACTGTGCGCAGCCGCTTCGGAAGCGGCACGCAATTTTTCATATATAAGGCTTTTTTTTGTTCCGATGAGGAATCCTAAATTTCTCTTATTACTTCAATGCACTCTGTTCTTCTATGAATTCCTCCATGTTTTTGATGCTTCTATGCGGAGAAGAAATAATTTGACAAAAATGGTATTGTGCACTGCATGGAATGTCAATTTATCGACAACTATCAACAATTTTACAATATTAGTGCACTTCGAGAGTTGGGACCTCCATAGGATTGCAGGAGAGACTTTGCTCTATCGTTTCCTATCAGTATCACCTTTCTGTTCTCATTTGGTATCACCAATAAATCTCTAAAAGTCAAGCCACATGAAAACAACCTGGAAGACGAAAAGCAATATTCGCTTCGTTGCTACAGCACATCGAAAAGGCCTTTTGAGAAAAGGTGGTAGTTTAGAATCGTCGTACATCAAGCTATCAAGTAATTACTAAGAGTCTAGTAATACAGCTTTGTCGAGCGATAAAGGCCTCTCAACTTTAATGAGTTCAAAATTACAACACGCGGTCTCAAGAGGGTTGACGTTTGCACGGATTGGAAACCTGGTCGACACGTAAACATGAAAGATGGGAGACCGTTAAGCGTAATCGAACGCGCAGTTGAAAGGGCGATGCTAGGCTTATCCCGTTTCTCGCAAATGAGAGAAAGAATCCCTTTATTACGATAACCATCGGAGATTGAAGACGATGTTCGAGATTCCAACTATCAAAGAACAGGTGGGCCGGACACGTTACGCGTTTTAACGACAACCAACGGACGACGCCGTCACCGATTTGATTCCTCAAGGTGTCAAGTGCTCCACAGGAAGACCACCGATCCGATGGTTCGTCTTAACGAGGACAACAAAGGGAAATTATGATATAGCAATCCCCAAGGCAAACCAGCTATCTACCTCGGCACAATCAGATTACTTGCTTCCCTGAGGAGCAGACACGAGGTTGTTAACAGAATTTAATCATTATAACCGAAGATCCTTCCGGTTGATGGGTGCGCAGAAATCCATAGATTCCGGGTGATGTAAAGAAAAAACAAGTATTCAGATGTATAACAAGAGCCGCAACAGCGAAATTTTCATACTAAAATTCCGTAGAATTCAGAGATAAAAAGAGTAAATCCAACGAATGATGAAAAATATTTTGAAACCGTCTTGTTTTAATCTCGTTCGACACATGCCTTCGTTAAGAAATTTCACTTTTCCGAAGAAAAAAAGAAATTCAACAACAGGCTTCCTAAGTGAAAGAAGAATGCTTTTTCAAATTTGACTTAATCAAAGGAGAGTAAACAACGATGCCTCGCCAACTATGCAAAGATTCAAATCAGCCAACCTTGCAAAAGAACTCGTAAAATCGTGAAAATGGAAGCGATAAGCTGTGAATGAAAACAGCACTTCGCAAAGGGTTCCTCTTTCCCATGACTCCAAAAATAAGAAAGACAGGTCTGAAGGGTACGAATTCTGTGTATTTAGACTGTTCCAGATGTTTTAGTTTTTTAGCGGGAAAAGTTTATACTTCGAGTTTCGTTCATACTTAACGTTTATTTACGTTATTCCGTTTGTACTTAACGTTTAATTGAGTCATTCCGTTTGCACTTTAGTTTTCCACTCATGAGAAAGATGTTTTTCAGATACAAAAAAAGAAAAAGAATAATAATCAGAAAGATTTTGAATATACAATTATCAAGATGTTTATACACATCTCCATCATAATCAAAAATCTTCGATTATGCAAGGATAATTCGAATTTGAATTCATTGGCTAATCCGATATTTCTGAACCACTGTTCGATTATCTCTTGGAAAAGAATGGATTTGCACTCGCGTCAAAGTTCACCAAGTCGAAGAGACTATTATTGCTCTATTAGGCTCATCGAGACGTAATGGAATAATCGTGGATAATTACTTGAATCAATACTATTTAACGGCCTCATCGGCTATACACTCCTTGAACCATCCTCTCGAATTGTCAGAGCAAAAGCCAAAAGTAAAGCAGCACTACATTGCCGATAATCGACACAAATGCGTGAAGGAGAGAAAAAAGCTTTCGGCGAAGAAATCTCTCAGTGTTGCGCTACGCATAGGATTTCATCCGGCATCATTTGTGGTGAGTGAATGCATATCTGGCCTTTACAATGATTCGCGGTGGTCTACCGATCTATGAAGACAGTGCTGCTATCCTCCCCAACAAGTCTGGTACCAAATCGCCGACTCCGGAGAAGTGGAAGGCCTAAAGCGCGGGGTTCAGTATTCTTGCACAACGATGTAGAAACGCTGTCGAAATAAACATCCAAAATAACAAATGATACTCAGTGATGTGGAATAATGTGCAAAACTTCCGTGTCAGCCGGGACTCGAACCCGTATCCCACTCTATCCGGGAGCGGGTGCTCTTAATCCGTGAAACTACTAACGCCCATTTTGTTCACCACCGTTCCTATGCTATAATGCAACTATCCGTGGTGCAACAGGTTAGAGCACGCGCTCCCGGATGGAGTGAGACACGGGTTCGAGTCCCGCCTGAGGCGAAGGTTTTGCACATCACTCTTCATCACAGGATATATCTATAGTATTATACCACCTGCAAAAAAGCGGCTACATAAAAGAATTCTATTTGATCATCCAATAACAAATAATAATTGTCATTCCATAGTGATCGCTTTTGTGAACGAAGTGAAGCAGTGAGTAAACGGGAGGATGGGATTGAAATCCTGAATTGTAACGGTATTCTATGCACTGACATCACCGCAGTAATCGTCTGTTCCTCCTGTCTAAGGCTATACAAGTGACTTTCCCGGCACTGGTATCGAACCAATAGCTGAAATCTTATGAAAAAAGGGCAGTCTACGGTAAAAAATTCTATCAAATATTGTTGAAGACTGCTATATTAGACAATAGGCCTTTTGAAAAAATCCATATAATCTGCATATGGCAAGGATGTTCTTCAAATGACGTTCTAATCAGCTTAGCCCA